TTGGTGCAGGAGTGGAATGACTGTGTTCACCTTGCCTTTTCCACCTCCTGCTATCACTAAGTCTTGTGGTCGGTACAGAATGAGAAACATGCAGAGGCGTGCATGTCTGTCGGTTGTTTTTTCTCACACGAGAACTATCTTGAAGTAAAAGAAAGGGCAAAATAGTTGGCATTGATTCATTCTGAAATAATAGGAGCCCACTGAATACAAGCACACTTATTCACAACTAAAAGCTTGAACAGAAAATATCTGCCAAACAGATGCAAAGTTCTGTTCACAGCAATGATTTTACACAAGCACTACAATTGCATGACAAATGAGAACTGGCAGAAACTTATAACGATAGCAATAAGGTGCACCTATGCATAAGTCATCCATCCTTGTCTATATCGGCCTAACAAGTAAAACTACTCGAGAAGAAAACGTAGCTCATGGGAGGACGTATATATTTTCTGTGTTTTTGTTTTCTGCCTTGTTCACTGTGCATGCACAGGTGTTGGGTCGGGTTTAGGTATATGTGATGAGATTAGTTGTCCGTTCCAGTGCCCGGGGGCGTCGATGTTTGCAATGAAATAAATACGGCGCACATGACCAGACAGTCAGTGTGAAACCCGCCAATATGTGTGCGGTTCGATCCGGCAACGGTATGGCCCAGGACTACCCGGTTATCACAAGAGGCAACAAGGGCAACTGACAAACCAGGCGAGCCTAGAACTACACGCCATCATGCCTGTCATCAAGAAGCTGGATCCATTCGACCCGAGTACATCGGTGTAGGCAAAATACTATGAGCGGGCCGAGCTGCACTTCATTGCGAACAACATCTTGAGCAACAAGCAGACAGCTGTATTTTTGACATGCTGCAATCCAGAGACTTATTCTCTGCTACGAAACCTTGTAGCACCAAGTAGGCCCGCCAAAGCAGGACTTACTGAAATTTTTACCACACTTGGCAAGCACTGTTCTCCTTGCGCATCAGAAGTAGTGGCAAGTTTCAAGTTTTTCTCAAGGCATCGAAGAGAGGGGGAGACCGTAAGAGACTACATTGCCTCGTTGAAAAAATTAGCTGAAGACTGCAATTTTGCAGCATTCCGAGAGTGCATGTTGCGTGACCAGATATTCAGCAGAATCAAGGACATAACCATGTAAACATGGCTGCTGGAAAAAAAACGTGTTTAACCTTCGAAACTGCGAAGGACACCATTGTAGGTATGGAGGCTGCACGTGAAGATTCACGCGCACTGAGCAAGCATGGCGATAATCTGCCTCAGGGAAAATAATAGCTGTTGCTTTTGTTGCAGGGAAGTCATTCTACGTGTTGGTGTAGACTTGGCAGCACGATCTGTCACAACCGCCACCAAAAAGGTCACCTTGCAAGTGTTTGCAGAGTTCAGCCAGGGAGTAAAAATTTCGATCGGAGCCAGTCTAATCGCAGCCGGTCTAGTCGCGTGAACAACCTGAGTGACCTCTGCTGAAGAGCCCGAAATTTTCGACTGGTGCACGCTTCACACAGCTATGACGATAGTTATAGTGCGAGAACAAAACGACGACACAGAGACAAGAAGGACACGAAAGACACCTTCTTGTTTCTGTGTCGTCGTTTTGTTCTCGCGCTATAACTATCGTCAAGCCATACCATCTAGCCCAAGCTGCACACTTCACACAGCTAGTTCGGATTCAATGTGCATTGTGGTTGAAGTTAACGGCGTAACGCTCAATATGAAGATGGACACCTGTGTTAGTGTGTCGATCATTGATGATAACAAGTTCGCCGAGCTTTTTCCGTAGATGCCGTTGGAGCCATTGATTAGGCAGCCAAGGAGTTTTTTGGCGGCATGACACGTGCCCAGGGAAGCTGGAAGCCATGGTTGAACCTGGCGAAAAGGAGCGCTAGCTACCAGTATTTGTTGTGAAATGGGCGCCTCCTACCCTTTTTGGACGAAACTGGATCAAGGCCTTCAAGCTAGGCATCGCTCAGACGAAGAAAGTCAACGCCATGATGTCTATCGAAGACCTGGTAAGCCAATATCACGAAGTTTTTTCGGAGCCACTTGGCACCTTTCACCGTGTTGCAGCTTCTATATCTGTACAACAGGGTGCAAAGCCACGTTTTGTCAAGGCACATCTGATACCATTTGCTTTGTGAAGAACTAAAGAGGATGGAATGGGAAGGCGTTATCAAACCGGTAAAAACTTTCAGTGGGCCGCGCCCATTGTTCCTGTATTGATGCAAAACGGCTAAGTTCGGGTCTGCGGCAATTTCAAGACAACCATAAAACCAGTGACAGACATCGGGTCCTACCCTGTTCCTAGGATTGAGGAACTTTTCGCGTGGCTTACAGAAGGCAACAAGTTCACAAAGCTTGACTTGCAAGATGCCTGCCAGCCGGTCCCACTCGATATGGAGTGTCAAGAGCTAGTCACCATTATTACTCTGAGAGGGTTATACTGATTCACAAGGCTGACGTTCGGGGTTCCATCAGCTCCAGCTATATTTCAGCGAGAGATGGAGAATCTTTTGCACAACCTGACCATGTCGTAGTGTACTTTGACGATATTCTCGTCACAAAAACTAGTGACAAAGAGCATTGGGAAAATTTGGGCCGAGTGTTGGATCGCCAGAAAACTGTGGGACTGTGACTGAAGATATATAAGTGCGAATTCTTGAAACCAAAAGTCCAGTACTTGGGCCATATTATTAGTGTGGTTGGGCTGCCTCCAAACTTGGCTAAGATTGAAGCAGTGCTGGAAGCCCCTGAGCAGTCAGAAAACTTCAGAGTTATCACAGGTAGGTTAATTTTTACAGGAGATTTTTGCCGAACCTTTCTGCCATCTGACAGTCACTCAATAGTCTGTTGGCGCCAGGAACACCATGGCATTGGGAAATTGATGAAAAAGAGGCATTTTGGGGAAGCAAAGAGCTATTGGCATCTGCTGCTATATTAGCACACTTTGACTCGGGAAAGCCAATTGTGTTTGTCACTGATGCATGTCCCTTCAATATTGGAGCAGTACTAGCGCATGGAGAGTCATCTGGAGAAAAGCCCTCCATCGGTTTTGCCTGGCAACCACGCAGAAAAACTACAACCAATTAGATAAGGAGGCATTCAGCCTTTTATTTGGTGCTACAAATTTCAGGGAGTACCTAGACGGCCAGCATTTCGAGGCCATCACAAATCACAAACTGCTGCTCGGACTGCTCGCAGCACATAAACTAATTCAGAAATTCTGTTCTCAGAGAGTGCTAAGGTGGGCCTTGCATTATTCAGGGTACATTTGCGACCTGAAGTATAGGTCGGGTTCACGAATAGCACGTGCCGATGGGTTAAGTCTCTGTCAATTGCTAATTTTGCTGTTGATTGCCCTGCTGAAGTGTTAATGCTAGAAGGAGCATAACTAGGGGTGCTGTTGTCAAATGCTGTTGTGGCAGACACCTCCAAAGACCTGCTGAAGTCGCATGTAAGAGCAGCGTTGTGGTCAGGCTGCCAGACATACCTAGGGTCAGACAGAAGACCCTACCAAATGCACTTTTATGCGATGAGTGTGCAAGGGAACAGTCTATTGTATGGCAACAGAGTCATTGATCGGAAATTTTTACAAAGGGAAGTCCTCCAGTTGCTGCATGAGAGTCATCCAGGTCTGTCCAAAAATGAACGAAGTTGCACGTAGCCTTGTGTGGTGGCCTATCTTGGATAATGATATAGTGATAACCATTCAAGAGTGCCGTATTTGCAAGGAGCATCAAAGAGTGTCATGACCAGTGCCTGTCATGCCCTGGCCATTCCTGAAAATACTGTGGTCATGGCTGCATGTGCACTATGATAGTCCTTACTGGAACCCCTATTTTTTTGTCGCAGCTAGTCGATGCGTTCTCAAAGTGAATCGAAGTATTCTGAGTCTCCACACTCTCGGTTGAAGCAACTATTTCCTGCAAGCCAATTATGTTCGCAAACCAAAGCCTTCCAGATGTAGTCATGTTGGCTAGCATTTACCAGTGTGCTCTCCTCCACATTCCTCAAGAGAAACGGGGTGAGGCGAATGCTGGTGCCGCCGTATCATCCAACGTCAAACGGTGCTACAGGGCGGGCAGTGCAGACTGTCAAAAATAAGTTGCAGAAAGCTGGCCCTGGAAATATTTGCACTCAAATCCCCCACATGCTCCTGACTTACAGGTCCATGCCTCATGAGATCATGGGTTGCTGTCCTTTGGAGCTGTTGTTGGGGCGGAAGCTGAGGCTTGCGTTGGACCTGCTACACCCAGACCTCAGGACTAAAGTGCTACAGAAGCAACTCAAGCAGAAAACCAGATGCGACTAAGGAACAAAACCCAGGGTTTTGGGTCACCCTGGTGACCAGATGTTCACAAGGAACTTTCGTCTAAGTCCTGCATGGCTGGTTGCAGTCGTCACCGAACAACGAACTTAGTCCATGAATGTTCTACTGGAAAATGGACGTCATTTAACTCGACATATGGTTCACATCCGCCAGCCCCATGAGGAACTGAGTGCAGACAACCAATAGCCAGGCAGCCCCGTAGCTACAGGTCTTGCTCCAAGATTAGATGCAAGTCAGAGGCAGCTAACTCTGGTTCCCAGAGAAGACCTGGTGAGGGAAGCAGAACTTGCTGTCACAGTACACAGTACTCCGGTTCTGTGACAAAGTACTAGAATTCGTTTACCAGTATCCCCCTACTCACCTTAAAGAATTGTTTACATCCATTAATAAAGGGGGGGGGGGGGATGTGATAAGATTAATTTGCCAGTGCGGTGCCCAAGAGTGCCGATGTTTGCAATAAAATAAATACAGCACACCTGACCAAGACAGTCAGTGTGAAACTCGCCAACTTATGTGTGTGTAATTAGATCCGGCGACAAGCATGGCCCAGGACTACCTCGTTATCACAGTACTATATGTCTTCCTTTTCAAAGCTCTTAGCGGTTAGTAAGCGCCCATGCTGTACACTTTGTAGCCTATGAGGAATATCTGAAAGTGTGACCCACCTGGGGGGGGCACCAGATGAGCCGTGCAGTCCAGTCCAGGTGGGCACTCCCGACCCGGCAGCGAGGCAGCGCCTGCGAGACTCTCGCAGCCGTCGGATGGCTTGCTGGGCAACCCGCTCGGCTTCGCCTTCCACCAGGGCATAGTCGGGAGCTGCTGAATCCACAATGGCATCGTGCTGCATGGCTGAGTGTACGCCTGCAAGGGTTGTCACAATGCTAGTCAAGTGTGGCCATGCAGCACCACGACTAAGGATGTGTACTCAGCGACGACAGCAACAAACAGCAGTAAAGAGGCCCTGCAGTCACATGAATGCATACGACATGTCGGGATTGGTCTGAAAAAGCCTGTGGCACTCGACCCAAACCCATCTAGCTAATAGGGTAAGTCGTTGCCCCTTTGTTCCACATGCTGGTATTTTCAAATGTGCATTTCATGCATTGATATATGAAAAAATGCATTCTGTGCTTGAGCTGACCTAAGTTGACTTTTCTATAAGGCCAGAACTAATTTCTTTAGGCGCTAGTGTGTAATACTTAGTACCCGCTCTCCAATTTGAAGAAAGAAGGGAGAAAGCACAACTGTGGATACGGGGCTGTAAAAAAGTGACGGATTGCGAGTTTTCCCCCTCCTCCCCTACATCCACAGCATGGGGTCTTGTTGCGGGAAGAGCACCAGACTCTTGGAGTGAACGAACACAGCAGATGCGGTCTAAACGAAGCAAATAACACAAATTTATTTAACTACTTTTAGATCGACAATATCGCCAGCAGAATTAATATGCATATTGTGATCCACATGCTAAACAAACTTACACAATATTACACAACACTCAAAAACATAACAAATACAAGAACGCATACAAGGCGGTTTCACCAACGCTTGTCTTATCACGAGGGCCCCGGCGTGCAACCCACGGTGCCGCGCACTGGGGATCCACCGTTAGAGACAACCGTTCCCGCCAACCGCCAAAGAGACTCGCTCCTTTCTCATGTGCCACCATGCAGGCTTGCTACCATGCATCACCACCAGCACTACCGTTTCAACCACGATAGTGATGGTGATAATAAACACTCGCGAGCAGAACGCCACCTATTGCTCGATAATTGTGACTTTTGAATGCGGCTTCTGTGCGTGACACGTGCGCCATGAGGCACGAGCTACTTTATAAGAAGTGTTAGCCCCCTCCAAAAGTTGCTCTCTCCCCCTACTTTGTTTTGATTGAAAAAGAGGGTACGAAGCATGTACACAGGGCACAGCACTGAAGCGCTGGCCGACAAGAGTTCCTGTTTGGCTACTGGCTGCTGCATACCTCTTATGGGCCGTGCGTTGCGTCCGCACCGTGCGTTGCGTCCGTGCATTGTGTTCGCCGCACGATACTACAACTTTCACTTCCACCACTGGCACATCGTTGCCTCTGCCTGTCATCGTATCCAACACTATGCTAACAATCTCAGGATTTTCTTTCGACCTGACAGCACATGCAGTGTTTTCGCCTGACCTAATGCTGTGTTCATCAGCCTTGAATCCCCTTTTTTAGCATAGCTGGCATATAAGAGGCGTTTTCTGTCCACTACTGCTGGTTAGGTAATTCATGGCTATATATGCCCTATTCGGCTGCATAGGAAAGATTGCTGCTGTGCCCTTGCCGTATTCCTTGGGGCCTCACTGAAGCACTCTCCTTCCTCAGGGTTGCCACTGTCTTCTTTTTCCTAATATTTAATCCCTTGCGCTTCCGTGAACTGGTTGGCTTGCTTGGCGAGCGAGTTTAAATCTACCTTTAGCCCCATCTGATAACTAGCCAATATGGCGTCTTGGTAATCAACTGTTCTTACGTCTACACCTTGTCTTTGCTGTGTCGAGTGTGTCGTCAACATTCTCTGCAGGCTTCTAAGGTCACCATCAGTTGTTTTCTTTCAACGAGTTGCTCATCCTCGTCGCCGGTGTACTAATCGTCTTCGGCCTAGCCAAGTTAGGCTTAACTCGTCTTAACCCTGGTGATGGGTCACTCCGATGACTGGTGTTATCATCTTGGCGTGAAGTAGAAGAGCACCGGGAACAGCTGTGAAAGGTTGCGGCAAGTCCAAGCAGCCTCACTCGGGTCTTCTGCGTTCTATGGCCACTGCAAGGGCCTCTTACCCTGACAGCCTTCAGAACCGGGTGGCTACTGCTTCCATCAGTGTAGAGATGCTGACCTTCAATATTTTTGCAGCACTAAGTCCCACAACACTGTCAGGATCTTCCATTTTCAGGCCTCTGGCAACTCTTTGGTAGCCATAGCTAGCCAGAGGGTCAGCCAGCTAGTTCCGGTCGGGACAAGAAACAGCGTCATGGTCACGTGTGTGGAGAACCCGACAGCTCGAGAAAACCCGAAGCTGCCCGAAGATTCATTGCAAAATCGAACACTGGGACAGCCAGCGTAAACGTAAACAAACACTACGGTCGTAGCAGGAAACGAAACAGAACGCTGCGAGTGCATTGTTTTTTGTCCCTGCATAGTCCGCTTGGAAATACGTGGCTAAGTTTGCCAAAGAGCTAAAATAATATTCTCGAGCTTGTGTATTTAGGGTACCAATTAGTACGTTCACACAATCACTCGCAACTCGCCACGTCAGTGAACGAAAGATCCAGCTGGGGCATTCCGCCTCGAGAACAATACAAGGTGAGCTGTCGTACCGCTGACGGCTTAACAAGCTCACATCTTCTTAGTACATGCTACAGTCACTGCACAACATGACGCGAGATCACACAAAAGTGATCGTGTCAAAAAAAGAGCCCAGAGACATAAACCTGCTCAGCGATCGCGCAGTATACATTGCAGACCAACTTGCAGACCAAAGTATACATTGACCAACTTGGGTTGTTGTCTAAAGTTTAGACATGTGTACATATCGATACCACAAGTGAGTGTCGCATCTAAAATAAATGAGTGAGTGTAGCATCTAAATTGGTCAAGCGGGGCATAGCTAACTTCTGCCTTGCCAACGCCTTAAAGAAGTCCTGCCCCCACATGGTACGCTGCAGCTTTGCTCTACAAGTGGAGCGGCTCACCAAAGCTGGTTACCCCGCGCATGTTCTCGTTTCGGTGGCTGAAAAGCTGGTCACTGTCGTGAAGTGAGGCGACAAACCGGATAAGCGAAACAGTGTCAGAAAGAGCCGGCCTGTCGTTTTACCTTACGTGCACGACGTCTCACACAGGCTCAAAAAGATTGCTTAAGACGCCAACATTCTTGTGGTTTTTTTCTGCACCGGAAAAATTGCAGAGGCTTTGCAAACGGGTCAATACACCTCGTGCAAATTCTGCCTCGTGCCCTGTTGCGCACAGGACACGCTACGTCCCATGCGCAGTGGGAGTCGTATACTTGATTCCACTGGCGTGTGGGTGCATCTATGTCGGGCAAACCGGCAGGTGCATAAATGACCGCCTCCGAGAACACCGAAACAATGTGCACAATGTAGTACAAGGACATCTTGAAATTCATTGCCGAGATTGTGGGTGCACCCCTCTCTTTGATCAGTGCTCAATATTGTCAAGGCACAGGGACCAGCTTACCCGAGAAATTATCGAAGCCAAAAAAATACACTTGCTAGGAGATAAATGCGTAAGCACATCATCCGTTGCTTTATCACAGGCTGAACGTGATTACCTGGCTGGGTTCTGAGGCAATAGAGGACCCGTTACACGTGTTTTGTTACTGATGTGTAGATTAGGCTTGCATTTTACCTTCATGCTCTGTTATCATCCTTTTTAGCAGTATATATTTTTGTCACTCTGTGAAATGAAGTTAGTTGGAAGTCAGCGCTCTTTCTGTCTACCTTGTCCTTTTTCCTTTGTTCGCGCGCTAAAACATCTTGCAAATATGACTATGCATCAACTAGCCCAAGCTTCCACTCTTGTGACATACATACCGCATGGCATTATTACTTAGAGATGAAAAAAGACAAATCCTGCAATAAAATAGGCATTGAAAGAATGCATACAATTCTGAATCCATACTGTTTTGTTTTTGTTTTTTCCCACGCCGACACGTTGTAGCGTAACATAGTATCATACGACATATGCTGACCCATAAATACGCTAACACGCTGTTCGTGGCCAGCGAGCACAACACACTAAAAAACAACTGTCACAATCTCTATTATTCAATCAGGGCAGTCAATCACCATCAAAGACCAAATGGTCAAATTCTAAGAGGTCGCAAATATACGACGAAGCAAGCTAGTTCGACCATAATTTTATTCGCTAAGTGCACAGAAAGCAGGCACGGCACCACAAAGGACTATTACGAAAAAACAACTAGAAAGTTTTCTCCATGTGTACGCATGAACGTGTACTTAACATAACTTTTGAGGCATGTGCACAACGCAGTTAGCAGGCAATAGTTCGACGCGTTGTTGACAAAAGGAAGCTTCACCAGAAACCTAAGACAAGCGATGAACAACAGCTATAAACACTTGCCGCCACTCGTTACCACCCATCTCGCACAGCGGAACAGGCTTTAGAAGATAACACCACGCGTAATGACAAGCGAAGGTGCAGTCCCCAATTGCCTACATTGCCATCTGTCGAGCCTTCACAAAGATGGCGGCGAGCGCGTGTCGTATCTTTTCGGCATCTGGTAGCCCAAAACTGTCCAAAATGATCTAGAGAGCATCCACGAATAAATTGTCCTGAAAGCACCTGGTGACCTTCAAGCTCACCACGGGTTACCAGAATGGTTCAAGCCGAGAAAAACGAATGCCAACCAGAAGTGTGTCACGGAAGGGGTTGGAGACACCCGAGAAAAACGAGCACGCTCTGGCCGACTCTGACAGGCTGCGGCTAGCCACAAGTAGCAAATCGAGGAGCCCCAGAGATAGCTCATCCTCTGGGATTTTCCATAATTGCTTAGGCTTTTCTCTTTTCTCTGACCAATGTCAAACGTAAACGTGGCGTGTATGCTCACTGCCATGGCCTCGTGTTTTCTTCTTGATGACAATCACCTTCACTCTTGTGAGGCCACTCCACGACACAGTTGCTATGAAACCTCGCTGCACTCTCTTTATCATTGGGTTATTCCACGCTAACTGTCCCAACCAGGGCACTTTGCATAAATCAATTTTAATCAGATAGCTTCAGAAAATTACACACATATAAGCATTAGCTCTTAAGGGGAGATGCGGGTCGAAAACGCGAGTTTTTTTTCAAAATTACCGAT